CCCCCCCCCACAGTCTCCCACAATTATAATTATACATTTACATACTGTAGCTCTGACATATACTGCAGTGTTGTACAATGAACCAGTCACATCAGTCTCTGTACAGAGGAGCTTACACTCTAATGTCCCTACCCCAGCACTGGATTTGAGCTATTCCGGCAGCCCTTTGCCTTAGGGCGGTGCGTCGCCTCTATTGGGCCTGAGCTCATCTGTAAAACTCCGCTCCAGAGAAAATAAAAGTGACAGCAGAAAGGAACAATAAGCGATGGAACAATGCTACAATACATCTAATTGATTGTACCGTTCCCGTCTTCCGCTATTACTGTGAAAGCCTCGCTGTCAAAACTGCAAAACAGCTAAATTAACAGAAGGAGAACGGAGCCCTGCAATTAATCTAATGAAACGGCGACTGGCTGAACTGACGCATTTTGATATTAGAACAAAACACTTAATTACATTTACAGTCAACACATTGCGACTAATAACAGTTTGAATTAAAGTAATTGAAAAGGAGCCCATCCGGAAACATCGATTCAGTGCGCCGAGCGAGTTAGAAGGGCCCCCGGAAATTAGATAAGGGCCGGAGTTAGGGGTCAGCAATGATTGGTCTAAACAAAGATGATGAGACGTCTGGGGAGGACGAGGATCAAGAGATGGTCTCCGGAAATACAATCGTGTGTTTATTCAATGATATCATTTCCATGATTTGTGTTTATCCGAAAACCAAAATCACCGATGTACTAAGGGCTGAGGAATTTCTCTGACGAGGAGGACCGCATGTAAATCACGTGTAGTATGAGCACATGCAGGAACTCTCCACTTCACAATGTCCAAGCCGGTCGTGCAGAGAATTAAAGGGCAACCACGCCCAAGAGCAGACATGTTATTTGCAACTAAAAAGTCCTTCGATGTGGCGGTGACATCGGGTTCCTCTTCCTGTATTTTCATCCGGTGATCCTGCCAGTAACGCACTGCCTGTCCTGGGGTGGCAACGCTCATTCACGGTACTGTATCTATGGAGTACATCTCCCCATCTCATCACCATAACATACAGTTGTGTGAAAAAGTGTTGGCCCCCCTTCCTGATTTTCCATTGTTTTGCACGTTTGTCACACTTCAATGTTTCAGATCATCAAAACAAATTTATATATTAGTCAAAGATAACACAACATGCAGTTTTTAAAAGGAAGGTTTTTATTATTAAAGGAGAACTATGGGGTCAGTGTTTTTCCCCATAGTTCTCCTTAGGGTAACGGGAGGACACAAACTAGCGTCCTCCCGTCACCCTAGGCTCAGTATACCGCGAGCTACAGCTCCCTATATACTGAGACGCCGCAGCCGGAGCGGATCCCGGCATGGACGTCGGGATCCGCTCCGGCGTCTCAGTATCTAGATGGCACCTGTGCAGGGGGAAGGGAGGGGGGGGGGAGAGCGCTGCGGGGACCCCCTTGAAAACGAGGAATGTAAAACTTTTAAAGAAAAACAACAACAGACTAAGGCAAAGGTGGGTGTCGTTAAAGCAACAATTAAAAAAGAGAAGGTTTAATATCGCTTTAAATAGAACCTTTTATAGACATCTGTACATCAGACCAAAAAGAAGGACAACTCGGGAGGAAAGGGGGACAACTCGGGAGGAAAGGGGGACAACTCAAGAGGAAAGGGGGACAACTCAAGAGGAAAGGGGGACAACTCAAGAGGAAAGGGGGACAACTCAAGAGGAAAGGGGGACAACTCAAGAGGAAAGGGGGACAACTCAAGAGGAAAGGGGGACAACTCAAGAGGAAAGGGGGACAACTCAAGAGGAAAGGGGGACAACTCAAGAGGAAAGGGGGACAACTCAAGAGGAAAGGGGGACAACTCAAGAGGAAAGGGGGACAACTCAAGAGGAAAGGGGGACAACTCAAGAGGAAAGGGGGACAACTCAAGAGGAAAGGGGGACAACTCAAGAGGAAAGGGGGACAACTCAAGAGGAAAGGGGGACAACTCAAGAGGAAAGGGGGACAACTCAAGAGGAAAGGGGGACAACTCAAGAGGAAAGGGGGACAACTCAAGAGGAAAGGGGGACAACTCAAGAGGAAAGGGGGACAACTCAAGAGGAAAGGGGGGCAACTCAGGAGGAAAGGGGGGCAACTCAGGAGGAAAGGGGGGCAACTCAGGAGGAAAGAGGGACAGAGGAGTTTGGTTACAAAAGAGGGACACGGGAGGTATGAGACTGTCATTCACCACAAGCTCCAAAATAGGTTTCTTGATCCCTAACATTGGATCCTATCTTCCCTTGCACCCAGCTAGAGAATGTGTGCATCTCTTGTTCCGGGAAGGCTTAGCAACGGTCTATCCCAAGGGAAGCACAGACTCCCATCCGCTCCCATGATAAGCCAGTGGCCCCCCAAAAATGTGTAATGGCCACCTGATTCTAAAAGCTTCCCGCTGAGTTAAATTTCACACAGGTCTTCCTCAGGCCTCAACAAAACACATTTTTTTATTCCAAGTAAAAAAAAAAATCCTCCATTCTTCACTTCAACTTCATCCAAATGATTAAACAATCCTATTTACTCACAAACTGATGAAAGCGCTTAGAAGCACAATGCCGCCATTATCTATGTCATTTTTCTTCTTTTTTTGCAGATTGACCCCTTTTTACAGAAGAAAAAAAAAATGCAAGGTTAAG